TACTTATGTTCAACTCCTTGCTTTTATAGGGTCCATTTTGATGACGAGGATGAAAAAAGCAGACATCATTTATTTTTGTAAAACAATAACATTTTTGTCAGCTGAACATCTACCAAAATCGTCATTTTTTATATACAATCCTCTTACAGTATCCTACTTATGGTTCAAGTAAACACTACGCTGACTTCCTCTTTTCTGGATATATTTAGCTGGATGAGGGACTTTCGCAGAGGATGCTCAAAACTAATGAGATCAGTGCCAAGCAAACAATTTTTTCCATTACAGATATATTCAGCTGTAAGCTTTTCACCGATGCTAATAAATAAAAGCTGCGGCAACTGAGAACAGCGAATCTTTACGTTACCCAAAAAAGTAAAAGTAATCACAGAATGTCCACTGGCCAATTATTTATGGGTGCTCAGTAAGCGAGAATGCTTTAATTTTGCTCAGTAAGTTTAGCTATGAGGGCAGACATAAAGGTTATCTCAGTTGCAGTGTCGGGTGCATCAGTAATGACTCAGGTGCAGCGCGACCGCTTCGCTTGTGCTTGCGCAGCGCTCGCGAGCTTGTTCTACCATTTTCCACGCCTAATCAACAAATTAAGCTTGACTTTGAGCCCTTTCCCCTTTCTCAGGATGGGAAAATTATTAGACGTCGCGTTTGCGAATGCATCGTAGACTCTAGGCAAGGCAGCCATGCGGGACTCCTGCTGGCGCACCCGACACTGCTAATGAGATACCCTGTAGCCTTTTAGCCCACTTGCGTTCATTCCCTTCATAATTTTGCAAACTTTCCTTCAAGGAAAGATCGTCAAATACACTATTTGATTTGGAAAAATAAGCTGGAACATTACCGTACTCATGAGTCCATTAAAATTCGTCCGCAGTGCAGCATCACGCGATGTAACGATAGTTGGACCAGTGTAGGTGGCATCGAAGAATCCGTGACCCATTCTCTGCAATTATCTGTCACTTAAACCTAATAAATTCGAAGCCACTTCAGTCATTGAAAATGCGGATGTGCCTAGATGTACTTGGATCTTAAGTGCTGGAATGATATTATGAATAACCACTGCCAGAATAATAAGAAACAAAAAGAAAACTTATCTACTCCTTAAGGAGTTCCAGCAATCAATATGTATTGATTCACGATAATTTGTTATTGTTCAAACTGAACTCGGTAATGTTGCTTGGGACATAGTTCTCCGAAAATTGCTCCGTCATAAAGGCAGTGTCCCGGCAGATTTCGCATTTTCATCTTTTTGCATGTTTTGGGCCTTTTCGACCCGTAGACCCCGAATTTGAGCTTTAAAACGGGTGCAGAGGCCTTTTTCGGGGCGTTTACCCAATTTTCAAAAAGCAGCTCGGACGAGAATTTCAACGGGAAGTTGCGAGGTCCTAGCACGGACCCTGCTGCCTGTAATTTTTGCTTTGGATAGCACGCAAAACGCGAGATAGCGGTCGTGGGGTCCCGCGCCGAACGGTAGGCAAACTCGTCCAGCGCGCGCCGATTGGGGTTGCGCGCGCCGGTTCGAGGGCCATTTTCCCGGCCCAGAGGGAACATCAACCAGCCGGACTGCGCCTGGAGGATGACCAGCAACCCGACCATAGCAGTATCCCCAGGGTGCGAATCTGCCGGGACACTGTCTATAAGTTCTCCGAGAGAATGCTCTCTGCAATGAACGAAGCTAACATTACCTTGAGAAAATATTTAGAAATTTAATTGTCAATTACTAGAGACATATACGGTCGCTGTCAAGTATGCAAAAGACTTCTTCTCGAAAGAACATGACTCAAAATTAATTTTGGGCGGAATGCAAAGCTGTTGCGTTCATTAAAAATAGTTTACGAATGAACGAGAGAGCAGACAGAAAAGCAGCGAGAGTGCGTGAGAAAAGAGGAGTGACGCGCCGTATGCACCTTCCAAGGCCCTGCGCAGACAGCCTACATTTAAAATTTTTTGCTAAATCAGGGACAAATGAAACTTCAAGAATGCTTAAGTAATCAAATAGTACAAAAAGAAGCTGCCATGCTTTTATAGTGAGGCACAGCGGCACCTAATCGAAGGACGAAGAAAGCTCTTTCAAAGATAGAGGCACCTTACAGATCATCTTAATATGTTTCGCGCTGAGTATATCTTCCGCTGAGCTGTTCAAAGAGCTAAAACGGGTTCAGAATATATTTGAGTAAACTTATTTTTACCATAGCTGGGCTGAGCTAAACCTTTGAATCCTACTTAATCTTCGAGCTAGAAGATGGAGGTTACCTAAGATTCAGCTTGCATACGGTGCTCGCCAAACATGGCTCATTCGTGTGCCTTGTGTTAGTTTATTTTTTGAACAAAATTTATTTTTATAATTCTCCAAGAATTCAAGACTAACTATTGATGCAATGATAAATAAGCAGGAAGAGAGCACGCATTAATCAAGATTTATTCCCGAAATCATCTACTTTCAAAGCCAATGTTAAGGAAGCAAATTTGGGAAGCACACATTACAAGAGGCAAGGTAAAAATGCTCTGACTTGACTGAGCTACGCACAGTAGAATTTATGCCATCTTCTTTTGTGATTAGCACTATGATCCTTGACGTAATCATAGTTTCCATCCATCTACAGCCGCATATATCGGTTTATAGAGAGCATAGATTCCTGAATATAAATTGTTATTCTTGGGTATGGCAAGTGAGTGGGCAAAATCCGTTCTCAACGCACTTCATCTCCTGAGCGCGTCACATTAAAAACGTCAGTCCAGCTTATAGATTGAATCTGAGATCAGCTTCTGCGCCACTTGCCGCAAATACAAAAGATAACATAGAGATTGTAACAGTTAGTGAATTTTACATATATAGACTTCATTGTATTTCTGTATTTCATCGGCGCTTCTGACACGGGGCTATGAATACAGTTCGGTGCAAAGTATTACATAAATCAGCTTCATTCCCTCGAAGGAACTGGCTCAGCTTTTGATGTAGTAGGCTGCTCACCTCCCCCCCCCCCATATGAAAACAGAGCAAGTCCGGTCGCACAGCATGCCGTGCCAACTTGCACCCGAGTTCCAAAGTAAGGGCAGTGGGAAATACATTTTTCGTCATTTTTGCGCTTTTCAATTTGATCTTCGACATCAGGACATCAGATTACTTCAGGACGCATATTTATCAATCTCTCGATCGCGGTTCGCCCACTACTTCAAAATTATAAACTGAAACTGAAGTGAGAGCGCCCATCCCATAATGCATGATTAGGGCACATGGCCTGAATGGCATCTGTGAGAGGATCTACCATGCCCCATGCCCCACACGACCAAAGTTGCCATCGAACGCTCTAACCGTCCTGAAGTAATGCCCAAACAATATGCAAATGAAAGATTTCATGAATTGGTGTGATTTGCTCACAGCCCTCCCAATTTATACCTGATGTGATTATTAGGCTCATGGAAATAAGGTTTTCATTGTTAACTAGCTGGCTTGCCCGGCTCCGCCGGGCCTGCCAGCTAGACCCGTGTACGTATGTTCCGAATAGAATTGGGACCGAACTTTGCACACATACACTTCGGGGCACGGAGCTTGTCACAGTCCACTTTTCGTTATCGATCGATGTCGATTTTACCGATTTTTTGCAAAATTTGAGCTAGGGGGCTAGGATTTTGCACAGGGGGGTAATCGAGCATGCTGATCACCCCCTTCGGGGTGATCAGCATGCTCGATTACCCCCCTCTGCCAAATCCCAGCCCTCTAGCTCGAATTTTGCAAAAAATCAATAAAATCGATATCGATCGATAACGAAAAGTAGCCTATGACACGCTCCCTGCCCCGAAGTATATGTGTGCCAAGTTTGGTCCCGATCGGTTCAGAAATAAAAATTTCTATTCCGCACATACGTACAGACATACATACAGACAGACATACAGACAGACATACAGACAGACATTCAGCTTTATATATAAGATTAGCACGTGAAGCGACTCCTAAACCTTGAAGCGATGTTTTTTCGATTTGAAATCATTGACATTTTGGCCAAAACCCATCAGCGAGCTTCATATCGCAAAACGAGAAAAAATCAAATAAATCGAACTTCCTGAAAAACTCGCGCATAAAGGTTATCTGACCTGCTGATTACAAAAATCACACCTGCTTAGCAGGCAAGCTTCACAGTTTAGGGTTATGTTAAATAGAATTTGGGACGACATGATTTTTCCAAAACTTACCTGCTCTTCAATCTCTTTGAAAAAATAGTCTCCGGCTGCTTTCTTGCGCTCGATTATCTGCGAAAACAGCACTATAGTGCAGTGCTTAATGGAATCTTTTATGTTTGTTGCGCGCTAGGTTACATCCTTGTGAAAAGACGTCCGCAAAAAATTCGAGAAAATCGAAAATTGAACCTCGAGGACATACTGTATACCAGAAAATTTGCCTTGATGAACTGAGCATAATGCTTCTTAAGGATTCAGAATATGTTTATTCGAAGAAAGTTATGGCGCTGCGTAATTTGCGTGATTCGCGTGATTTCGCTGAACTCCCGAAATGTCGCGAAATTCCCCAATCGCGGACTCCCGCGAATTTCCCGGAATTCCGCGACATTCACGAAGATTTTGCACATTCTATGAACAGATTCCTTTCCCCGTAAGTAAGTAACTCATGGATGATGATGATTTTTAACATGCAATCAAGAAAGTGTTCGTTCAAATAGTCACACATTATACAATCAGCAAGCAGCAAAAAGCGAGGAACATTTATTCAAGCACTCAAAAAGTCTTTAAGTCAGTTTAAGTAAGGAAGCCAGATTAAGTCACGGGCGTGCTGGGCTACATCAACCGTTGTAAAACACAGAAAAGTGCCAACGATAAAACTGACAGGACTGAAGTGCCACTTCCGCCCGTAGTGAATTTATCTTCTGTCTGGGTTGGTAGCATTTGAATGAGGTCAAATCCGCTGGAGCGTAGGCTGTGCCACAAATTTGCTGCTCCTAAAATCGAATGATTTTTTTTTTGCAATTAGCTCTTCATCATTTATCAAATTCGCCTTGATCAAAAGCGTTTTTCATCTGTGGATATGGCGAGATACTTAAGTAACGAAGATCCTCTCCAGCTTCATCCCACGCTGAGAGATTGTTGGTGGGAATACTGAAATACTTTGAAACAGATTTTTTACCATCAGTGTTTATTTAATACTTAGTTACTCTTTATAAATTCAAGCATTAGTTGAGAGATAGGGCTTCCACAAATTTTCTTTGACTGAACTCAAGCAAATGGAACTTTTGGTACTTAAATGCTTTTTACATTTGAAAAAACACAAAAAAACAGAAAACGCCTTAAAAAGAAAGAAAAAACAGGAACAAGGATAGAAAGGAAAGAGGAGAGCGAAGCCAGCGCGAAATTTGTTGTATCTAAAGTTCTTCTATGATGCATAACAAGCGATAAAACGTAATGCAAATTTTTTCTCAAAGCTTAACTTTTTCTTTCAAGGATGTGTGTTTTTTGACTCGAAAAGTATCTTTGAGTGATGAAAGGTGTTGGTCTTTCTTCCATTTAAAATAATTTTTGATTTTTTCAAAGAAAACTTGCGATAGTTAGGAGCAAAATCTGTAACTCTCCTTGTCAGTCTAAAGCTGTTCTAAGGCAAATTTGGCCTACGTAGTCCAATTCTTGTCACATTTTGCACTATTTCTGAGACCTGATTTTGGCTAACATAAGATTACTGATAAACACTCACCCAGTTTTTGCAAAACTTATGAAAGACTGCTGAACCACATCGGCCACAGTACGTTCCTTGCCAGTCATGCTGAAATTGCCGAGTGCATATACTCCAAACATGTACGGGTATTCGTTCACGTGGGGTGATCCTGAAATAATGTTAAATAATCGACATCGACTTTTGTGAGAGCTGCCCATAATTTTAGTGGCTTTTAAATCGTACATTGTTTCCAATCTCCCCAGCAAATTTCAGACAGGCTCTTGGGCACCGTTTGATAGAGAAAACTATGCTAAGGTGTTCAATGTTTGCATCAACTTTTATCCACGCAAAGTTTGATGGCAAAATAAGAATGATTGAATGCCCAAAATCGAGAAGAACTCGGAACTGCTACCAAATAACGCATGAAGGTCTTCCTTAGTTTTACTCAGCGATCGATGCAGTTGCCGTGATTTTTTTTGCTAGATCGAGGAAAACAAAATTATCGAGTTTTTATTAGATATAATGCAGAGCTACTCCCATACTAGGATAGGGGAACGAACTGTGCCAGTTTGAGTCCGACATCGCTGGCAACTTGTCCTTTTGCTATATTGCGTCCGCAGAGGCGGTTCATACTAGCTGACTTCGTTCCCCTACCCTATCAAATCTAGCTCTTCTTCCGACTTTTTTACTCCAAAATCCCATGAAGTTCAACATTTCTTCAAACACTGCGTCTCGTGGGGCTAAAAATTTGAGTTTGTACTTCTGATCGCAGTACACACTTGCTATTGAGGGAACAGCTCAGCACTGCTTTCGAAAAAAAAACTTAAGAATTTTTGTTTTGTCGATTTCTAGCTAAAGAAAAAAATAGGAAAATCGGATTTTTCTCAATTTCATATCTCGTCCTTTTTGATTGAGTTCAAACTTTGTGTGAGTCAAAGTCAATGTAAATGCTTGCAGACTACCATATAGAGCTCAATTTCTAAGATGGGACTAAACTATTAGCATGTAGAATATAAATTGCTGCGTTTTTGACCTATTAGGTTGTCCCGAAAGTTTTGTCGGTTTTTTCCATCGCTCACTAAAACTCACAGAACACCATTCCATTAACGTTCTAGGTACCATTTGGTTTAGATTTTCATCCTCTTTCTTACAGCTATATTTGTTCTCTGACCTACCCTGTCTTTGCAATGTTACCGCCATGGCTTTTTGAGCAGCTCAACAGTAACGCCAAACCTTTATGAATTTTTAAAATTTCTCTCCTGACACTTCTAAGGAACGCTGGTGACTGTTATGTAGAGCAAAGCTTTAGCTACAATGTACCCATTTTAGATTACGTGGGTTACGTTTACCAAATCCGTTATAATTATTTATCTAATGAAAACCGTGGCTTTTTGACTACGTTTGCCACGTAAAAGTACCGAAAATTCCAAAAAGCTGCTTTTTCAAAGCGAGTCAAACTGGATAATGTTGCACAATTAGTGTTCAATAAGAATCATGTTGCAATTTTCAGAAACTTCAGAAGTTTTTATGTTTTTGCTGCAGTTGCGTGTTTTATGACTTTGCCAAAAATCGAGACCTCCGAAGAAATAACTTTTTGAAGCGAAAATCAGCAGACTAGTGGAATCCAAAAATATCGCCTTGTAGTCCGCGAATTGCTCTATTTATTCCTTACTTAACCCTTTCCGAAACTTCGAAATGAAATTTCCAAAAATTGGCCGAACTCTGAGCAGAAAAAAATAACGGGTGAAGAATTTCAGCAATTATAAAAGAAAGCATACAGGATTCTGGTTCGAAAATGTAACCACAAGAAAGAGAAGGAAAAGATGTATCGAAAACATTCTGAAGCTCTTTCAGATCTTCATTGAGCGCGGTTTTATAGTGGTCTGAAAAAACCGACAAAACTTTCGGGACGACCTAATATTTTGGTGCGAGACTTGTGCTTCAATTTAATACTGCTGCCGCTTGAACAAGATTCATCGACGACAAAGACTAGTACTATTTAAGAATTTTGTCATTACCAACCTCGTAGTCTCACTGGCACATCATCACTCCAAATCGCATCATTGTAGTGATCAAAAGAGTACACGTACATCTTTGATCCGTAACGACGTCGTGCAACGACCTCATCTATGAGCGGCACGTTGAATGTGACGTCAGTGAGGAACTGAAACCTTCAACATTTGCTTCTTATTCAAGACTTTGGAAAAGCTCTGACCACCTCTGTGTATCGATCCAAATAAAATTCCCAGGTTGAATCATCACCTCGATCTACATAGTATTTCTTTGCTGCCTTGTAAACATTTTCTGTTTCATTGCCGTAAAAGTCAGGACGAATCATTCTCTGGAGGTGGACATAGTATGGACTTACTTACATCTACTTTGTCAAAATATATATGACTTCCAAGTTCGCTTTTCTATAAATCTTGGCATCTTGATGAACAATTATGTGCAGTTGTTGAGCCTTATATAGCCAAGATTGTTAAAGTTGTTTATTAGGCTAACGTTTCGGCTTTTCGCCTTCGTCAGAGCCTAAAAAGCGAGGAGCAACTGAAAGTTATCCACCAGATGTCTCATACACAAGGTAAAGTCCAAAGCTGCATTTCGCGTAGACAGCTCACCTCTTCGCCGAGCAAGGGACTGCCACCACCACTTGTAGGCGTTAAATGATTAATGAGCTAACGTGAGTATGGATGATGTTCTTATATCAAAACCCGCATAATTCCATAAATGGTGCGAGTTCCTTCGTTATAGCAACACACTCTTCCTTTCTATTCATTTTTGGATTCCTGGTAAGGATCCATCCGGCTTCTAAAGTTTTACGAGCTGCTAGCTACTAGCTAGCAGCTAGTAGAACTGATGTCAGTGAATTTAAATGAACTAATGAAAAAAACTAATGAACTACTACTACTAGCTCATGTCAAAAATAGAAAATTGCATTTTAGCCCGCAGGCCCACTCTCTATTGTCGTTACATCGATGATATTCTCATCGTTTGTTCGACACAGACAGAGATGGATGTCTGTTTCGATTTACTTAATAAGCAATCAGCTAACATAAGATTCACTAGGGAAAAGCCAAAGGACGAGTGGCTTCCGTTCCTCAATGTTCAGATAAACTTGAACAAAGGAGAGTACAGGACCAGCTGGTACAGAAAGCCCAGTAACAAAAATATCCTTGTACACTACTCTTCTGCGCATCCTATCCGTACTAAAATCAGCGTAATTGGAAACATGATCCGAACAGCCAAAATGGTGTCATCTGACGGCACGCTAAAGGCTGTGTCAGTCAAGAAAGCACTCCAAATCGCTGAAGCTAACGGATATCAACCCAGAAGAGTACATCGCGTCATCAGACCGCATAAAAACCCTAGCGATAAAGTGTCATTCTGTTTCCCTTTCATTTCAGATACATTGAGCAGCGCGATTAGAAAATGTGTTCGAAAAGCTGGGTTGCAAGATTCATTGCGGCTTGTCGAAATACCCCCTCCAAACCTTAAACGGCGCTTGGTACGAAATAGAACAAATGATAAAGCTTGCACAGAAACGGATTGCTTGATATGCGCCACGAATAAACAAGGCGATTGCATGTGCTCGGGCGTGATTTACCTTTTGAAGTGTAAAGCATGTGGCGATGAATACATCGGGGAGACGGGTAGGCCACTGCGTCTCAGAATTAAGGAACACATGGACGGGATGCGCAACATAAGAATGTCAACTCCGCTGGGCACGCATCGAAAGCTGCACCACGAAGAAGCAGAGTTCGATATTTCGGTGTCGATTCTGGAGCGAGAAACAGAGGCAGCAGCTCGTAAAACTTTAGAAGCCGGATGGATCCTTACCAGGAATCCAAAAATGAATAGAAAGGAAGAGTGTGTTGCTATAACGAAGGAACTCGCACCATTTATGGAATTATGCGGGTTTTGATATAAGAACATCATCCATACTCACGTTAGCTCATTAATCATTTAACGCCTACAAGTGGTGGTGGCAGTCCCTTGCTCGGCGAAGAGGTGAGCTGTCTACGCGAAATGCAGCTTTGGACTTTACCTTGTGTATGAGACATCTGGTGGATAACTTTCAGTTGCTCCTCGCTTTTTAGGCTCTGACGAAGGCGAAAAGCCGAAACGTTAACCTAATAAACAACTTTAACAATCTTGGCTATATAAGGCTCAACAACTGCACATATATGACTTCCTACCTTCAAAAAGTCGACCAGGCTATTTTTGTCGAATCTCCTGTAGTCGGACGGACTCAATCCGTACATGTGAATGTAGGGCGATAACCATTTCAACGCTAAACAGAACTTCTTCACTGGCACAGAACAATTTTTTCGAATGCTAATAAAATAATACCCCGTAGGACGAAGAATTCCTTTCTTTACAGGGCTAAGGTTCACATCTTTGAATGAAAAAATTAAGTAGCTCTCACAAATAAAGAGATACGGGACAGACTGACATCAGTGAATTTTTTTGATTTTGCATTTTTTAAGCTACTTATTGCCAGGGAGCCATTTGTTTCTCTCGTAAAATTTCACTAGCACTCAAGGCTAAGTTGGCGTACTTACTCGTTAATTATTTCTACAAAAAATTAACTCACTAAAGAATGTTCCATCCTTATCGCCAACACCAACTATGGAAGGTTTTGGAGGAGCCTTCGTGACCATTTCGTCTGGATATGTCAAGAACTCCCCATCAAGAACTGGACCCCATTTGACACTATCCAATGTGGATTGGGTGTACCCCTAACATAGTACTGCATCAACTTGTACTGGGATAGGGTGACATTCGTAAGAACATACCACATCAAGAACGGCATCATATATTTGATCCACGGACTTTGATTTCATGCATCTTTTGAGGTCATCTCCAGTACAGTTCAGTTCCTGAATGCTCACTATTTAACGTGTTATTCGAGGACCTCAAATACCCGATTTTAGTCAGTAACCCCGTTACCCTCTCAAAATGGACCGATGCACAAGTAACGAAGTAGAACAAGTTGCCAATTCTGCCATTACTGTGGGAATGATTAGAAATTATCATAGCGTTAGCCTCATCGTAAATTGACTGCTATTATAGAAAATTTCCAAACCAGAAAATGACTGCTATGGGGTTTTGGACCCTATTTCAACAGTATTAACAATACTATGTAACTTTTGGATGACATAATCGATTGTCGGCGGCACCGAGTATAAGCATGTTACAGTATACATACTGTTTTTTCTGGAGCACTGCAACAATGTGCGACGCCATGCACATGAGGTAAGACTTACAAAAAATTTGTAATTGCCTTAGTTTAAAATCAGCTTTCTTCTTTAAGAAACTGTTTTGATATCAGCAATTCAGTGTAATGCTGCGATAGTCTTCAGGAATATCAAGAACTCAAAATTTGTAACGATAAAGTTTACCTTTGCAAGCTCTACTGAGTGTTTGGCCACATTTGGCCCCATAGCCCAGTAAACCCATGGTGAACCGGACATCTCGATCGAACCAGCAACATAATCTGAAAAACACATTTTTTCTAGATCTGTTTTAGTTTTGGATCGCTCACTTCTTGAGACAGGGCTCAGAGCCAGCTGACCAGCCGCGGCACCTCCTGCACTCAGACCCCATACAGTTATACGAGTGCGATCACCACCGAAGTTTGGTGCATTGTCATAGACAAACTAGAATTTCGAGAAAAAGTTTTGAGTGGATAGTGTGACAGATAAGAGCAACGATCACCTTGAGTGCAGCTGCCATGTCGAACAACCCAAGGTTACCCGGAATGCGTGAATCACCAGTGGAGAAGAAACCTAAGCATTTTTTTTATTTCGAGGAGATATTCTCTTCCTCCATACTGTCCCTCAACCTAAACTTCAATATCAAATGGGTTTTTCGCAGTGGCGGCAGTAGGACTTCCGTTCGGAAGCGGAGGGAGTGCGACAGAGAGCACTCCGAGAATTTTTTTGGTGAAGCTTTTCAAACTTTTTGCGCGACCATAAGCAGCACGTCCCAAAATTTTTTTAAATCCTAAAGAACTTTTAGAATTAGAATTTTAAAAAATTATTTCAATTTTTTACAAATATAAACAAGTTGCCGCACATTTTTTAAAACATATAAGTAACTTTCAAAAATTTGGCAACTCTTAGGGAGAGGGGCGCCGCTGGTTTTCGGTAAAAAATGTATTCTTGCAGCTCATTTTACACTCAAAAATCGGAAAATTCTGTAAAATATCAAGACATTTTTTGCTACAATCTGTTCAAATTTTTGAGATAGATGATTTCCAAAGGTTAGTCGACGTCGCGTAGCATGTGAATTCTAGAATTTCACCAACTTTTCAAAGCTTCTTCACTTACCGTACACTCCAGTGCGATACTGTATTGTAACAGAGATGACGTCATTTGGCACATAGATATCGGCAAAACCCTCGTAGCCAAAAGCGCTTGACGCTCCGACTTCATAGCCTCCACCATGCACCCAAAATAGTATCGGGAACCCTTCCGGTGGAGCCTGAACACAATCTCGTAAATGGAGAATTGGCCTTGAAGAGTGAAAAATAAAAAATAAGGAAATGATCCGGGGGAAGAAGAGGATGAGCTTTTGATGCGATGCAATGGTTGGGTAAAAAGTACTTGCTCATGGCTAGGTGAGAAGAACTCTGATGAGGAAAAATTGCTACAAAAGTTAGTATCTACACCAATCTTGCTCTAGAGGGGAGATGGTCTCGAGCAGATTTTTTTGAAAATGGCATCAAAATGCCAATCTTTAATCTTTTAGAAAATGCTGCTCACAGCTCGAAGCTCTCCATCAAAGGCAATTACCTGCTTTTGCGGACGAATAATGTTGAGAGTCAAGCAATCTTCGTTAGATGCTACAGGCTGTACAGCTTCGCGCGTGTGTGGATGACAAGAGAATCCAAATGCTCTGCCGTTACGTACTGTATCCCATGGGGTTACTGTAGCTGGTTTCTGCATCGAAAAATTTCAGACTCCCTTGATTCAACATAGACGCAAATCCCTACCTCAAATCGGCGATCACCGACTGGAGGAGCAGCATAGGGTATTCCCAAGTATATCTCGGCAACATCACCACTGCTTGTTGTGTAGGTGAAGCCTTGAACCTGACCCGGGTTGAGGGTGATAATTTGAGTTGCTCCGTTGGCTACCATAGCCCATAGCAGCAATGGAATCAACATCATCCTCGTAATATTAGCCTAGGCTCGGTTGTCTTTATGATGATGATTGTATACAGGAACACTAGGTACAGAAATAAGCACTTTGCCAAAATTAGGCAGTACTAAAGTGCTTAGAAGAAGATATTGAAATTTTTGTGAGCTGAAGAACGTCAAATAAACGTTCTTAAACTCTGAAAGAGAACGATAAATATGGAGCCTGGGTATTTCACGGTTTCAGTGACTGTTTGTATATCAAGCTTGATTATCACTCCAGAAGAATGGACAGTATTTATCAACGCTGTTTACCATAGTAAACGAAACCCCATCTACCAGCCTGAACTCGTTTACAATTCTGGAACAACCTAACAAAGTTCAGAGATTGATATATACAGCCCAAGTAGAATGTCCTGGGGGTAAAACATCACTGCCCCCAACTATGGAAAAAATGGGCGCAGGTTTTTTGTCTAAACCTCAAAATGATGTCATATAGAATGCACAGGGTGAATCCTAAAGGGCTTTGAAAGTGTTGTTTGATAACTGATTAACTGTAAAAAAAGGAGAGTAACCTGCATTGAGGCATGGTCGCTTAATATCTGCATACAAAATTCAGGCAAAATAGCCGAATTTTAGAATTTTTATTTATATTAGGTTGTCCCATAAGTCTTTTCATTTTTGAATTTTCGCTATAATAAGTCACACACTTCTCATTCTAATTAGACATCAGGATATCATTCGATAGAGCAAAGCAAGCTCTACAAGATGGCGTTTATGCTTTTGCACAAGCTTCGGTCCATCTCGAGTTTCAAACCAAAATCCAAAAAATTTCGGACGCCCAGAAAACCGAAAAATTTTTGTATCTTCGTTCAAAAAAATCCTACAGACCTCTAACTAGCTCACGCATATACATTCCATATCAGACATTCATATGTGCTGCTGCTGTATTTTTTCATCAGCTAAAAATCAAGAAACCGAAAATTTCCATGTTTTTACCAAAGTGATGCTGTGCTGTTCTTACACTAACAGTTGTACACTAGAAGCCCTTAGAAGTACTACTGTAGATTTTTGGCTCTCTATATGCTCTGGTTAACGAGAAATATCAAATTTAGCTTTCTTCGCTCGGGTCTCTCGCGCTTAAATCAACATATCTCGGAAACCAGAGCATATGGACAGCCAAAAATCTACGGTAGTACTTCTAAGGCTTCTAGTATACAACTGTTAGTGTTATAACGGCACAGCATCACTTTGGTAAAAACATGGAAATTTTCGGTTTCTTGATTTCTAGCTGATGAAAAAATACAGCAACAGCACATATGAATGTCTGATATGGAATGTATATGCGTGAGCTAGTTAGAAGTCTGTAGGGTTTTTTTGAACGAAGATACAAAAATTTTTCGGTTTTCTGGGCATCCGAAACTTTTTGGATTTTGGTTTGAAACTCGAGATGGACCGAAGCTTGTGCAAAAGCATAAACGCCATCTTGTAGAGCTTGCTTTGCTCTATCGAATGGTATCCTGATGTCTAATTAGAGTGAGAAGTGTGTGACTTATTATAGCGAAAATTCAAAAATGAAAAGGCTTATGGGACAACCTAATAGTAAATAGTACTGTATATCTTGCGCACTTTTAAGAGACTTTCAGAAAATATATAAAATAAAAATTTCTTATTTCTTTCCATAATTGCATTTCTGGTAAATCAAACATAAATCTACACCGAAACACAGTAGATGCACATTCGCGCAAGCTCCTGGCTATTTGCCTCCAAATTCTATCAGGAGAAAAACCATTGTAAAGGTATTTTAAAGTGGGCTCATGGTGTTTCAATAAATGTCGAATTTTGACAATATGACGCTCTCATGCAAAAAAATGCGCGAATATCATGAGTTCTGAAGAGACTTTAAAGGAGGAAAAGGAAGGCCTATACAATTTGAAACTTGCAAGACTGAACATTCCAGGATCTTGGCTGATGCGCAAGATCAAAAGTTCGCCGAAATAATGGCATCATGAGCTCACTTCCCTATTTATGTGTTTACACTGATAAGGGCTCCATAATGGGGCTTTTAGCACCTCGCAGAGTAAACAATAACTAAGCGTCGAAGTAATGGGCATTTTTCGCAATGTTATGGGATTTCAGATAAGCAAAAATAACGCCATTTCGTAATGCGCGAAACAGAAACTATTAACTTTGGAGGTTTCTTGCGTGAGTCGTCTCTTTTTATTTTTTTTGAGCAAGATTTCTAAAGTTGCATTTGCTGGTTCAAATTGACATAATCACAATTCGAATAGCACTTCATTTTCAATGCTTGTGAAATGAATGGAGTCAATCTCAAGTCCCAGTCTTTCAAATCCTCACAGATTTAGAGGAAAAATACGAGAATTACCTCATTTTCCGGTAATTTATTACATAAAGAAAAAATACTCCTGCTATGGCAAAAAATGCATTAGGTTTTAACATAAGTTTTGCTAGACTTGAAAAAGAAAATTTTCTTAACTCTTCAAAAAAAAATTCAAAACCCACAAAATGGGAGGGTTATAGCTTCTCGATATGGACTTGTCACTCATAAATGTTTAAGTTTTAGAGTTTTTGTTAAATTTTTCGATTTTTCATTGCAAGTTTCCAACTTGCGTCATGAGATTATACTCCTAACTGCATTAATATTATTACGGATGCTCCTAAAAGTCCATAAAAAACCAAGTAATTGAAATAGAAAGGACGAGGAAGTTTCCAAATGAAAAAGACTAAAATAGAGGGTGAAGTGCTGCCACAAAATTGGCTTTGTATGTTCGTAACTCATGCTCCTAGAGGCGAAATTGTTTGTTCCTCATGTATGTTAAGTATAATGTAAAAATGTGAGTATTTAGCTTATGAGTCACCAAAAATATCCAAAAAGCACACAACTATTTTTTGTTTCTAGTTTCAACACTATCCGGTTTCGGGGCTAGGAACTATACCGAGCAGCTTATTTGGTACCCTCATCAGTAGTTCCCCAAGGAAGTCTCAAAATTCTAGCGAAAGAGATAATCTACAGAATTTGAAAGAACTACAGGCTAACATACGAGACTCGGTCAAAGTTTCTAGAATTTTTCGGAAGTAGGCGAGGAAAGTGTAACAAAATTTGGGCTACGACCTAGGAATTTTGTACATGACGAAAAAAATGCTCCTACATTGTAAACATAGGACTCTCAAACTCTTGTACAAATTATGAAGTTGCTTCACATAATTCGACAAAACACTCTCATCAAGAGGTAGATACAAGATGGGTAAGACAGAAACATACTACAATTTAGTACTGGCTAAGTTGATAGGTCACAATTTTGGAAAATTTATCATGTACTAGAAATTTAAGTAGCCAATCCTGGGCAAACCGTCGTTTTCCGGCATACGCTAGCAGCTGAGGTTGTTGCAATGTTTGATTGTTGATTGTCAAACATGGACGATGTTTCCGTAAAATCCTCCGCTAATGCGCTGTCGTCATTTTGTAGCACATTTTCTGTTTGCTAAGTTCTTTCAAGCAGTTGGCACAGAGGAACAGCCAGCATTTTATGTAAAAGTTGGTTCTGTCGTGATAAAGAATGGTGCTCGAATTATGCAGAAATATTTGCGTAATTGCAACTTGTGAAAAAGAGATAATACAAACTTGTCTTGTTTTTACAAATGCTTTTTGTTGATGTTTCATATTTTTTTCGGTATTGATTCAGTTCCCTTTTCCTCAAAATAAGTAGAAAGTTAATGTTGCGCCACAGTACAATACAGCTCACATTTTTTGAAAAATAGACGCGAATGTATGGACATGTATGGACATGTCCATACATTCGCGTCTATTTTTCAAAAAATGTGAGCGGTATTGTATTTGAGCATATTTGTTCACCCACCCGTAATGAAAAGTTGAAACTGTGTATGCGATGCTTCAAAAATGCCCGTTTTCAAAGGCTGATTTTAAATTACCATTATTTTTTGAAATAATCTTTGAGAGTGTGATAAAGTATGTTACAATCCACAAATCCTCGGCAATACTAAACGCACCTCGAAAGCCCCCGCTTTGAAAAGCTATTAGTTCATCTCATAAGTAATGCATATTTTAGAAAAAAGTTTCCCTAGATTGTTTTTCGTAAACACTTTTCAACATGCTCTCAGATACCATACCGAGTTCTCGAAAAAGACCATTTTGGAAACTTGGTGTGGTACCTGAAAGCATGCTTTTAGCTTCTTATATATACTTTCGTTTCCGCGAATTTTGTTTAGCGGTTCCGTGCTTTCAAAAGCAAGAGTCAAAAAAAAATAATAGTCAAAGTTTCCTAAAAATACGTAATTGAGTGGTCGTGGTTGGTTGTTCGTGCGAGGTAGTGGGCGTGGTCCTCGAGGTTCGGACGTCTGCCTGTACGCTGTGCCTTTAAAGGCAGTGTCGGGGCAAAAAGTCGATTTTGAGATTTTATGCTTACCAGGGCCTATTCACTATGCTGAATACGAAAATCCACATTGGAAAGCGCGAAAACGGCGAAAAAGGGCCCTAACGTGGGAGGGAAATCAAAAGTGGGCGGGGTCTTCCCCACTGTGAATTTCGCGGTCGCAGATTCTGGAGCGATCTTCTCAATTCGGCTAGCACTCTAAGATCTCCACAGACCAGGTGCGAATGCATGACTTGAAATTGGAATCGAGAAGATCGCTCCGGAAGCTTGGAGCGTGAATCCACATCAGGGTCAAGCAAGGGGTGTGGCACACGATCGCTGGTTACGACCCCCCCCCCCCTGATTGCTGTCTTAATAAGACCCCCCCCCCCTGGACTATACCCTTAAATAGCATTACTTGAAGGCTCTGTCAAACATAATGGGCAACATATCCATAATGAGGATGTCAATTAACCCCTGTAGACAAAGTGTGAGCAAATTGTGAAGATTCAAGATACTAGGCTACCTAAGTGAAATGGTCAAATTCCAACATGGTTAACTTTGTTTCAAAGGTGAATTAGCTATCCGTTTTCGCACTCAATACAAAGCACTACTCCTTCTTTGTCCACCTCAGGAATCCCG